CAGTCACTATAAACATAAGTATGTGCAGTGTGTCACCCATTATAAAAATAAAGATGTGCAGCTTGCCCCGCCCACTATAACAATCCAACTGGGTCACTTTACCTGTCCTCTGAGTACAGACCACGATGTTTACAAAATGACGTAGTCAAAGCGTACCATCAGCGCTCGTCACATGACATTTAAAGCTCCCTGATGTAATGTTTACCCCTACTGGTATTAAACTAAATCTCTGATGTAATGTTCACCCTACTGGTATTAAAATTTAAATCTTTGATGTAAAACATTTACCTTCAATCTCGTATATTGAGTACATTATTTAAAAGTTATTTAACAAATGAAAAATTGTTTTAAAATTAGGACATTTTTCTAATCTTCTCCAATCTGTTTCATCAAATCAAGTTAATCCATTTGATTTGCTGCTGCTTACTTGACACTTGTTGTAGTTTAACTATAAGATAATTACATTACACCAATTAATACGACTCTTGACACTTATATCCCAGGAAATTTCTAGATTTTTTTTTCTTATTATAGACATTTATTTCTTTAACTATTACAGCATGCATTTGATATCGTAATTAGTTGGGTGGGGTAGGAAGCGTGTGGTGAAGATTTGACAGGGGTGTTTAGGGGTTTTATCTAAGTGGATTCATGCTGTGTGAAGGTATGTGTATTTAGGTCTGTAGCGAGGTAGTGTGTGTTTTAAACAACTCGGTGTAGTTAATCGAGTATCGTGTAGGATGAGTGATTGGGTTATGACCGTGATGTAAATGGGATGTGTCGTGTTGGTAAGTTGAGGGGTACTAGCTGAGAGTGTTTGTTTGGTTTGTGGTTCAATAGTATCGTGCAGTTTGGGGTACTTTTTTCTACTTGCTTTTCCGATATCTTCTTCCCTTGATTGTTTTTTAATGACTTTTGTTAAAGGTCAGATTGATGTTTAGTGATATTCTTTTTATATTCTACACTTGCGTGCTTGAGCTTGTTGAGACAATATATGTAATGCTGATCATTGCCATTATACATGTGTGCTATATTGTTTGCCACTGCATGTGTATGCTAGTTTGCTGCCACTATGCTTGTAAGTTTATCTTGCCGATATACCTGTATGCTAGTGTTGCTACTTTACCTATATGCTAGTGTGTTGCTACTTTACCTATATGCTAGTGTGTTGTCACTATGCTAGAGATCATGGTTACTTTAGCTGTATACTAGGATGCCGCCTCTGTACAGGAATGCAAAATGATGTAGTTACAATATGAGTATTCTAGTGTTGCAGCGATATGCTAGATTGTTGCCACCATAGCTATACGCGACTTGGCTGCCACTATACATATATGACTATAACTTATATAATTTAGGATAGTGTTTTTCCTCTGTACCTGCGTTCTAGTCTTTCTTATATCCGTGTGTACTATTATGTTGCAACAATACATTTATGCTAGGATGCTGCCTCTATTCATATATGCAGAATGATGCAGTTAAAATTTTGGTATCCTAGTGTTGTGTCCATAGATACATTGCTGTCCATATATGTATAAGCTAGTTTGCTACTATATCTATGTGCTTCAATTATACCTGCATACTTTCTTGCTTCTTCTATACTTATATGCTGCATGCATGCCTGTATTCTATCTTGCGTAAACTATAACGTAATGCTAGCGTTGCTACTTTACCTATGCGCTACATCTATACCTGCTTGCTAGCTTGCTTCTACTATACTTGTATGCTGCATGGGTACTTGTATTTTAGCTTGTGTAAACTATACCATAATGCTAGTGCTGCTACTATACCTGTATGCTGTCCATACACCTGCATGCTAGTTTGCACTGTACATTTCTGCTGACTGTTGCTAATAGTTGTTAGCTTTAAATATATCGCTGGCATTGTCTAGATGAACAACCTTCACCAATAAATTTATCTCATTACGTTCAAATCCAACAACATTCTTGTCAACCCACTTACGTAATCAACCACTTTCATTTTTCACCGGTTTTTTTTTTGTCCAACAACTTTGTCACACTTAACTACTTTGTCACACCCAACAACTCTACACACTTAACAGCTTTGTACTTTGTCACACATGTCCTACTCGACTTCTAACATTTTATGATACAGAGCCACTTCTAAACATCCAAAGAATTCGTTACACGCTACGAGATTTCCATGCCTCACGATTTTCTTATGTTCATCCAGCTTATAAACAATTAGTTAAAACAAGATTATTTCATTTGTTAAAACAAGATTATTTCATTTGTTAAAACAAAAATATTTCATTTGTTAAATTGCTTCCCAGCTTGATATGTTAGATATCAAAATGTAAACACTTCTTGTGGCATAATAAGCATTATGTCTTATGCCAGCAATTAAAGATGTCCAGAATGCCACAAAGGCTACAATATCGATATGCAGTCTGTCCCACCCAGTCACTATAAACATAAGTATGTGCGGTGTGTACACCCTTTTAAAAATAAAGATATGCACGTTCCCCCACCCACTATAACATTACAACTGGGTCACTTTACCTGTCCTCTGAGTACAGACCACGATGTTTACAAAATGACGTAGTCAAAGCGTACCATCAGCGCTCGTCACATGGCATTTAAAGCTCCCTGATGTAATGTTTACCCCTACTGGTATTAAACTAAATCTCGGATGTAATGTTTACCCTGGTTATATTAAACTTTTAATGTTTCCCTGAGAATATAAAACAATCTCTGATGTAATGTTTACCCCTACTGGTATTAAAATTTAAATCACTGATGTAATGTTTACCCCGATTATATTTTAAATTATCTTATGAACTCGAGCATCAAGTTCACCTCGTAACATGAGACAATAATTTAATTTAATTATCAAATGAAATATTCTGTTAAAATATGCAAGAATATTAAAATATTTATTAAAAAATAGTTATCACTAAAAACCCCTTTTGTAAAATTAAGTTGCTTTATTAGATTTGACGCTCCTTACTTTACATTTACCATCGTGAAGATTAACACCTCTCTAGGTGTAGAACTGTTATAGCATGTGCGCGTTTAGTTTATTATTAATGCTTCCGCATTCATAAGTATTTACAAATATCTAATTGGTTTCATGGTTGGTTGTTTCTGCCAGTTTTTGGTTTGATATTTCTTTTAGTTTTATGGTTTGATGTTTCTGTTGGTTTCATGGTTGTTTATACCGTTTTATGGTTGTTTATACTGTTTTCATGATTTTAGACTGAACCTATGGTTCTTTCTGCTGCCTATTAATCTTTTAGACTTTGAATGACCTGGCTATATTTTATAACTGAAGATGTGATGTTCAAACACTTTTTGTTGTATGCTAAACTATGCTTGTACAACATACAATTCACATTATTTGTCGTTTTTTTTATAATTAAACAAATAAATTTCTACAAACATGGCTTTATTCAGTTTATTTGCATTTTAATGTGTTTAGTATCTCTTCCATTATTTAACGCAAGTTAGTATATGAAGAACCAATAATTGAATATAAATTATAATTACATCTATATATATAATTCTCCTCTTCGAGCCGTTAGAAAACAAGCTGCAAACGCTCTCCCTACCTCCCCACCCCTACATGGTTTTAGTGAGCTGTGTTCACTCTAAATGTTTACAAGCAGAGCCAACGATTTTAAACGTAGGGGGGGGGGGGGGTTATGGTCCTTAACGAGCTACTTATAGTGTTTTAAAGAAATATTTTCAGTGTCAGCGTTGGTACTGTCGAATTCACAAATTATGAATTATTGAAAATTAGAAACAACTAAATAGCGGCGTATGTTATGCCGCGGGCCGGCTCGTATTATATACTAGACTATATTGCACTAGCAAGGTTGAATGTCTTGCATAGAGGATATCACTATTTGATACTACACATTTAAAGAATTCTGCTCAATATTTGTTAGTTCTATACACATCTTACAGTAGAAGAAATATATAAATCATTGTATAAATTATTTGATCTTTATCTGATGTTAAATTCTAAAGCCATTTAGGCCGATCTTTTAGGGGAAAACAAATTGAATAAGGGAAATAATCCTGCATTTTGTTTGTGCATCGCTGTAATATAATTGCTGCCTCCCTTTGACCGTTGCAGAAAAAAAGGCACAAGCCAGGGAAGAGAAAAGCAGCCACGAAGCTCTAGAAATATATAATTAAAATGTTATGTTCAGTATATCATTAAGGTTTTAACGAGTAAGTTAATTTAAGTGACCGAAAGAATAAGCGTACGATGTTGAGTTTAGCAGTGACCTATCATGCCAAGAGAAAAGTCAACAGCCGCTTACAATGTATGGCAGACCAAGGAAGAAGAAAGTCTTATGCAACACCGGAATTGTGGGCGCATTACAACGATCTCCAGTGCCGTGTAACGGAAGACGACATATACATAACGGATTTTATCGAACCCATTAACAGTTCACGTTGAAAATCTTTCTGTATACAGAAAACTATATAGAGGTTCGATTTGTTACTATAATATTTGCTTAATAATGTGTCTTACATTTTGCTAAGTTTTGTTTCTTTTTTTTTACTTCCTCGTAAAGTATGGAGAAAGTCTTGTAATCGTCCAAAAAAATTAGATTTTTGCAATATAAGAATATTCGAGAACGTTTAGGGGAGATCACTCCCGGTTTATTAGAACTTGCCATTTCTCATAATTTAGGTTAAATCTTAGACCAGCTCCCACGTATCAGTAGCGTAGCGAGGGGGGGGGGGGGGGCGGGGGGGGGGGACATGTCCCCGGGCGCCGACCTTAGGGGGGGCGCCAAATTGAAAGTTTGAGGGGGGGGGGTGCAAATGAAAAGTTCGAGGGGGGGGGGGGGTGCAAATCGAAAGTTTGAGAGGGGGGTGCAAATCGAAAATTTGCTCCCAAGGGGGCGCCAAATTGAAAGTATGTCCCCGGGCGCCGGGAAGGGTCGCTACGCCTCTGCCACCTATAAGTAAAATTGTGTACACCTAACGTCACCATCCTATATTACAACATCGCTGTTTCGTTTTGGTCTAACTTAACAAACATCATCACAATTGAGAAATTAAGTAATAAAAACAAAACATCTATATTTTTAATAGTTTTACACGTTTTTTTTTTATAAAGTTAAAGCATAAAAAATGTAATTACCATTAAAAACTAAAAATAATTGATGTTACTATATAATCATATTAAATGTTAAGTTATACATTTGATTAAATATACAAATACAAAATATAATATTGTTAATTCTAAAATATAAGAATATAAAAGAAAACAAACTCATCTCTAAGAAAAAAAAAATTACGAATTTATTTTGATTTAAAAAATTGGATAAAATAAAGGGAAATAATTTCCCATCATTCGCTACTTTCTAAGACCAATGGTCGTCTTTGGTAATCTCTGTAACAATACATGAAAAGTAAAATATTCTTAGAGCATCAGGAAATGTAACTCTTCTGAAAATTTGATCTTCGATATTGCAATATACTTTAGTAAAAATAGTATATTCAATTTTACAGAAAACTTTCATTGTCAATATTTAATTAAAAGGGGGAGCAATTAAGTATGATATTTAAAAATCGCTAATAACAGGATACAAAGTTTAAATATATATTTATTCTAGGAAGAATGTAAATGTTTAAAAACTGCCTGTATTATTTAAAAAAAAAATATTTTTCCTCATGAGTAATTGTTTTCTGGTCAGTTAATTAAATAATGTTTCTGACATATTTAGATCTCACTGGTAGATAACCAACTCATACAGTTTCAGTACAAAAACACAAACTAGCATTTCTAGTAACAAAAAGAGATGAATAAACATTGTGTTTTTTTATACTCATTCGGATTTGAGTTGTTTTTTTTTAAATCATAAGTGTGCGTAAATAAAGCTGTAAATTTTATTAATTGCATTAAATAAAGATAATAATTCAGAGATATTAATTTAAAACAACTTTTAACAGGCAGTTAATGGATATAATTAAAAGTTTTAAAAAGTTGGATAAAGTGTAAACAAAACAAAAAGTCAAATCATTCAGATCAATATGTACTCGTGGTCTTTAAACATTCTTAGATCCTTCTGTAGATGATAGCCTAAGGAGACTGCATTTTATTGTAGGCTTTTCATACTGAAAGTAATAAATAGCAAGTCGGTTATTCAGAGCTTATATACAATTTATTTTAATTAATTAAAGTAAGCTATGTATTTTTCTCATTAACACACACAATTACTTATACATAAAAATGTGTGTGTGTCTGTGTGTGAGAGTATATGTGTGTGTGTGTGTGTGAAATAGAAAGAGAGAGAGAGTGTGTGTGTGTGTGTGCATTTCTTATTTAAAAAATATGATTGACAAAATTAACTAATTTTACGCTTTAAAGCTCAAGATTTTTCTTCTATTTTAAAATTATTATTCTCCTCATATCCCAAATGCCCAAACCTAATACACATACCCAGTGTTGGTATTCTCAATAGAGCTGATAAGCCCTCCTAGGCTGTTCTATTTCATTATGATTGGGGCTTCAACCCTGACCTTTCGCTCAATGACCTTCAGCAAGGTACCGGGGTCAATGTTTCCTCCACTCAGTATGACGACAACGCTGTTTGATGCCAACATCACATATTACTTGTTTTTTTTTGTGTGTCCCATACATACACAAGCTTATATACAGGATGTGTGATGTAATTTACGTATTATGTATTGGAGGTTAAGAGTAAATATTTAGTATAGTCAAATATCATCTTTCCCTGTTTTATTTTCTAGACACATAGAGCAGATGAAGTAGAATTCAGCTGTTTCGATAACCTCGGCATACATGGAATAATGTGGTCAGCACTACGTCCAGCTGCCTTGCTTTTCTATTTTGATACATGTAGCCTAGGCATTGGAGCTACTGATTTCATACAGGGAACCGAACCCGATACAGTCATAAATATACCATGTTTTAAAAATACAAACCTATCAGTAACAGTTTGTTTCTAAGAAATTGTAATACGAATAAGTAAAAACATGTTTTAAAATACTCTAGAGCTTCTTTATATAGTTATATAAGTTTATGTGAAAATAAAGACAAAATTATTATGGCTAATTAAGGTATATATTAATTAATTTTTCAACACTAACGTTTTGTTCTTTAGTTCAGGTAACAGGCCCTCCATGATAGCTGCTAGACCAACCGCCCCTGCCCCTTCCACTGTGGCCTTCTCAGTAACAAGTAGCTTAAAGACTGCATCGTGGACACTTTCTTCCCTAGTCAACAATATAATATATATATATATATATATATATATATATATATATATATATATATATATATTTATATATTTATATATATATATATATATATATATATATATATATATATATATATATATATATATATATATATATATATATATATATATATATATATGCCAATCCTAGCATTGGCCGACTTCGGGCTTTGACCGTAACATATATATGTATGTATCAGAAAATATAACAAACATGGAAATGGAGTGGAATTCTATGCATATTTCATTAATTAAAATGTAAATCACATGACCGTACTTACTTGACTGTCACCATTTTGTCCACTAGGGACTTAGCCGTTTCTAGAGCATTGACCCCTGGCCTAGAGACTGACAAACCTGTGTCAGTCAGTGACAGATAAGGTAATTAAAATATAGAGACATTAGAATCGATCGACGAAATGTTAATTAAAAAAAATGAATATTGTAGAACATGCAAACTAATGCAAACGTGTTAAAATATACTCGATACATTTAGAAAAAACAAGTAGGTTACAGGCATGTATTGTACATTTATACAAATAGAGTAACCTACTTACATTTACTAAGATTATAAAGTGTTTGTTTAAAATAAAATAAGTAACTTTTCAATACAACCTCACTCGTTTAATTTTGTCAGTCTGCCTAACGTACATACGTTTATTTATTAACGTTCTAAAATACTATACTGATAATTACAGTAGACACTTTAATTCATTTGTGTATTGTGTAATACATGTTACCCTTTAATAAATCATGTAAGAAATTGTGTGATATATAAAACAATAAACAAAAGACAGAGTTGATCAGGTGCAAATAACTCTACAGAGGGCAGATAACTCTACAGAGGGCAGATAACTCTACAGAGGGCAGATAAATCTACAAAGAGACAAATAACTCTACAGAGGGCAGATAACTCTACACCAGGGGTCGGCAACCTTTTGAAGCGGAAGAGCCAAAAGTTACAATTTTCAAAATTTCCCTGGTTTTAAAGAGCCACTAACATTTTTTTTTATTTCAAATATTTTTTTTTATTAAGATTATTAGTATTTGTGCAAGGAGCTGGAGAGCCGCATCTTGATATCAAAAGAGCCGCATGCGGCTCGCGAGCCGCAGGTTGCCGACCCCTGCTCTACACAGGGACAGATAACTCACCATCAGCGATAGTGGGATCAGAGAGTACAGTTATCGGAGCCCCGACCTGCAAGGATTGAGTGAATCCCGTGGAGCACTCGCACTCCACACCCTGGTGATGACAAGTGATGTGTCACAGTCACATTTTGTTACGGTCACATTTTTCTTCACAGTCACATTTTGTTTTACAGTCACATTATGTTAATGTCACATTTTTGTCACAGTCACAGTATGTTAAGGTCACATTTTTGTCACAGTCATATTATGTTAAGGTCACATTTTTGTCACAGTCACATTATGTTAAGGTCACATTTTTGTCACAGTCACATTATGTTAAGGTCACATTTTGTTACTGTCACATTTTGTTAAGGTCACATTTTGTTACTGTCACATTTTGTTACGGTCACATTTTTGTGACAATCACAATATGTTAAGGTCATATTTTTGTCACAGTCACACTATGTTAAGTTCATATTTTTGTTACCCTCACATTATGTAAAGGTAACATTTTTTGTTACAGTCACATTTCGTTATAGCAACATGCTGTTATAGTCCCATTTTTTCATACAGTCACATTTTGTTTGGGTCACAAATTGCTACAGTCATATTTTTAAAGTCAATTTTTATCATTCAAAGTGTTTGTTACAGCTTTAATGTAGCTTTTTGTTACAATCACACTTTTATTAGTCATTTGAATGGCAAAGTAACAATGTAGACCACACTCACATAAATCTTTATATCCGGTTTTAGAGTCTTCAGTGCTGTAGCCACTCCGGCAATTAGGCCACCGCCCCCTACAGGAACCACGCATGCGTCAACATCCGGAACTTGTTCAGCAATCTCAAGGCCGACTGTACCTTGTCCAGAAATGACGTCAGGGTGGTCATATCTAAAATTATACAACATAAAATTTTACAACACATGATTAACATATATAAAAAGTATATTATTCTAATGTAGCTCTAGTATCGTAATTAGCATAATTTTATGTAACCAGTTTTGTCTGATAGAAAATGTAAATGTATGTATTTAAAAAACTAATCAATCGTACTAATCGATCCTTTCTGACGCTAGTTCAAGCTTAATTTATGCTCATCATAACACTGTAACAAAACAATTGTTTAATCGATCAGTTAATCAATTAATCATTCTATGGGGGGAGGGGGGGCAGTTTGTTGGGACAGCAAAGTTTTTTTTTTTTTGTTTTTGTTTTTTTACATAAATGTTTTGCCATTTATTTGGTCTTCTGCTGATGTAAGTAATTATGCTATGGACAGTCCAGTCCATCCCTTGATGACCTCCATCTAGTGTCTAATTTTCTTCGCCTATTCCCTCTGGCACAGTGACCTATCTGATTGTTTTTGTTAGGGAGTTGCCTCGTTTCACTTGTCCAATACTATCCGTATTTCTCTTTACTGACGATGCTCAGCAAGTACACAAAAGGATGTTTTTGTTGGGGAGTTGCCTCGTTTCACTTGTCCAATACTATCCGTATTTCTCTTTACTGACGATGCTCAGCAAGTACACAAAAGGATGTTTTTGTTGGGGAGTTGCCTCGTTTCACTTGTCCAATACTATCCGTATTTCTCTTTACTGACGATGCTCAGCAAGTACACAAAAGGATGTTTTTGTTGGGGAGTTGCCTCGTTTCACTTGTCCAATACTATCCGTTTTTCTCTTTACTGACGATGCTCAGCAAGTACACAAAAGGATGTTTTTGTTGGGGAGTTGCCTCGTTTCACTTGTCCAATACTATCCGTTTTTCTCTTTACTGACGATGCTCAGCAAGTACACAAAAGGATGTTTTTGTTAGGGAGTTGCCTCGTTTCACTTGTCCAATACCATCCGTTTTTCTCTTTATTTGACGATGCTCAGCAAGTACACAAAAGGACAATATATTATGGTCCAATTCACGGAACTCTTCATTTGTTTATGAACTGTATATGAGGTCCCTAAGTGTCTGCATAGACATCTTATTTCTAGGTCCTGTATTTAATTTAAGTCAGTGGTTCTGAAACTGTGTTCGATCGAACCCCACCGGGGAGTCACGAGGTCAAGAACCACACACGGAGGTCAAAAACCACACGCGACTTGTGTGATTGATAAAAGGATTTTGTCAGTGCGAATGAAAGAACAATTCAAAAAGGTTCGGTGAATGTGAATATAAAACTGTTGGGGTTCGGTACCTCCGAAAAGGTTGAGAACTACTGTTTGGGTGTTGGTAGTTTTACGTAAAGTTTAAACTAACACTTATATGTAAAGTTTAAACTAACACTTATATGTAAAGTTTAAACTAACACCTACCCATTGATGTAAACCAGTCCATTATTTAGTCCGAGCTCCATTGCGTGCTGTTTTGCCTGATAAAATAATATAAATATTGCCTTAAGAAACATTGACTTTTAAAATATTTACAAAGGTTGGAATAGTAAATCTAGAGAATGAATCGGTATTTTTTTTTATGGAGTAACAAACTATGGCGTGTTGTCAATGACTGCTGATTAGTTGACATTCTTTTCCTCGGGAAATACCTACTGAGTACTTATTTAATACCTATTTATTACATATATAGAACCCACTGAGTACTTATTTAGTACATACATAGAACGTGCTGAGCACATATTTAGTAGAGTACATAACGAGTTAATTGACTACCTATTGAGGACCTTTTGAACCCCAAACAATTAAAGGACATTGTATCTTTTTAGGCTAGATGTAAGTCTGCATTAGTTATAAGCAAGGGTAACACAAATATTATATTTAACTGGAGTTATGTTTTGGTAAAGTTTTCTGCGTACAGTTTTCCAATGTGTCATTAATGACTGGCACCACTACGTATCATCAACCCTCATCTCTTCCTGGCTACATCATATTCCATGAATGAATGCCCCCTTCTACACACCCCCCCCCCCACAACACCGCCGTTACAATCGCTTATCGACCACTCCAAATCCAGACATTTAGAGGTATAACAACTGATATAAACCTTACCGCGGCAAAGTCCGTGCCAAATATAACAACATTGGCTCCTTGTTTTCTACACGACTCAACCTTGACCTTAGGCGCGTTGGTTGGCATGACAACGGTTACGGGGATTCTCAGCCTCTTTCCCATGTGCGCCAAGGCCTGGGCGTGGTTTCCGGCGCTGGCGGAAATGACCCCTGACCTCTTTTGATCCTACATGATTGAATGGGTTATTTTAGTTTAACACATTCAAGAGTTGGTTTAGTAGGTTATTGTGGCACTTTAACATGTGTTTATGCTATTTTACCTGCTGTTACGTCTTACCTCAGTCAAGCGTAGCATGGCGTTAGCCCCGCCCCTGACCTTGAAACTGAAACAATCGCAGTTCAGAATAAGAAGACACAAAATAGATAATTTATCACTGAGACAGGTGTTTGTTTTATATGATCATTTAGGACTGATCTTAATCGCTCTTAGTTTTAACCCTAACTCTAGATCATACCTTGCAGTGGATTGCTGGAATTCTTTTTTAAAATACAGCCTTATCCCATATTCTTCAGAAACTGGTTCAGAGAACTAAAGTAAAATAAAGTTTGAAGTGAAGGCCGAAAGAGGTGTGTGTAACATTGCTAGGGTGTATGTTTGAAAGATGTACTGGTTAGAATAAAATAGGTCACGGTCCAGTGGCGTAGCCAGGATCGTCTCAAGGGGGGGGGGGTTCAATTTTTACCCGGGGACAAACTTTCGATTTGCACCCCCTCCCTCAAACTTTCGATTTGCACCCCCCCCCTCAAACTTTCGATTTGCACCCCCCCCCAACTCAAACTTTCGTTTTGCACCCCCCCACCTCAAACTTTTGATTTGCACCCCCCTCATACTTTATATATATACCGAGGGGTCTATGGGGGGGGTTACGACCCCCTTAACCCCCCTGCCTACGCCACTGTCACGGTCACACAGTTATCACGTAAAGGTTAGATAACCATTAGAGCAAGTTTTTTTTTTACATACAAAGGCATCCACTAAAATAACGGCCAGGCACCTAACAAATGAAAAGCAGGCACCCACCAGGGTCAACGCCTAGCTGACTAATGTCAAAGATCCAACTCATTAATTTTAATTACCCACCATACCAAGGTCAAACACCCACCAGACCAAGGTCAAACACCCACTAGACCAAGGTCAAACTACCACCACAGCTAGGTCAGGTAACCTTCAGAGCAAGGTCAAACACCCACCAGACCAAGGTCAAACACAACCCGACAAAGGTCAAACACCCATAAGACCAAGGTCAAACTACCACCACAGCTAGGTCAGGTACCCTTCAGAACAAGGTCAAAAACCCATCAGACAAAGGTCAAACGTCTTCGTAATCAAGGTCAAACACTAAACAGCCCAAGGTCAAACACCAACTAGACCAAGGTCAAACACCCACCCGAAAAGGGTCAAACACCCACCCGGCAAAGGTCAAACACCCACCAGAACAAGGTCAAACATATTCCTCATCAAGGTCAAGTATCCACTAAACCAAAGTCAAACACCCACCAGACTAATGTCAAAAACCCACCACAGCAAGGTCAGGTAGTCTTCAGAGCTATGTTAAATACCCACCAGACCAAGGTCAAACATCCTCCTTATAAAGGTCAGGTACCCACCAGACCAAGGTCAAACACCCACCAGACCAAGGTCACACATCCACCAGACCAAGGTCAAACACCCACCAGACCAAGGTCACACACCCACCAGACAAGGTCACACACCCACCAGACCAAGGTCAAACACCCACCAGACCAAGGTCAAACTACCACCATAGCTAGGTCAGGTACCCTTCAGAACAAGGTCAAAAACCCATCAGACAAAGGTCAAACGTCTTCGTAATCAAGGTCAAACACTAAACAGCCCAAGGTCAAACACCAACTAGACCAAGGTCAAACACCCACCCGAAAAGGGTCAAACACCCACCCGGCAAAGGTCAAACACCCACCAGAACAAGGTCAAACATATTCCTCATCAAGGTCAAGTATCCACTAAACCAAAGTCAAACACCCACCAGACTAATGTCAAAAACCCACCACAGCAAGGTCAGGTAGTCTTCAGAGCTATGTTAAATACCCACCAGACCAAGGTCAAACATCCTCCTTATAAAGGTCAGGTACCCACCAGACCAAGGTCAAACACCCACCAGACCAAGGTCACACATCCACCAGACCAAGGTCAAACACCCACCAGACCAAGGTCACACACCCACCAGACAAGGTCACACACCCACCAGACCAAGGTCAAACACCCACCAGACCAAGGTCAAACACCCACCAGACCAAGGTTAAACACCCACCAGACCAAGGTCAAACACCCACCAGACCAAGGTCAAACACCCACCAGACCAAGGTCACACACCCACCAGACCAAGGTCACACACCCACCACAGAAAGGTCAGGTAAACTTCAGAGCAAGGTAAAAAAACCACCAGACCAAGGTCAAACTTCCTCCTTATCAAGGTCAGGTACCCACCTTACCAAGGTCAAACACCCATCAAACCAAGGTCAAACACCCACCAGACCAAGGTCAAACACCCATGAACACCATTAAGAGGCGCAACGTCAAAAATCAACATGAACACGTCTCTGTAAAGAACGTATCCATTAATTTTTACCCCACCTGAACAACACATTTCTTAGATTGATATTGTCCTATTCACTTAACCACGTTTATCTCTTAATGAATTAATCTACTTTAACTATGTAAGCTATATTTCCGTACCGTGCATTGCGTTACTTGGACGTATTTTTGTATCTTTTGTCTGGCCTCTTTGATATCTGAGAAGATAGCTTTGACGGGCCGACGTTCATCACAGAAAGGGTCAAGAATAGTTGGCTTCAGTGAACCCATTTTTTAGTAGTTTAGTCTTCTTTTTTAGACCCGAATAACCTAACACAAATGTATGATACATGATTAAAAATAGATAAAATAAAAGAGTTAAAAAAATAAAAACACATACAAAATGAATGTTATTCCTTATACTGCATGCTAATAAAGATTTTAAAATTTTAATTTTAAAAACTATTTATACTTTTTTTTAAATTTGATTTTTTGCGTATTAAGGTTCAGCGTGGTTGCACGGTCTAGAGTTTCACCTTCAACCAAGAAGTGTTGAGTTCAGATGAGCACCTGACTCGCGTTAGGGAGAGTAGAGGAGCATGGGCATGGTGCTGACTACACTATCCCTGCCTAAGTCCACATCACATAAACAGATGTGCACTATTTTATAAGTTACATTTCCATGTACCGCCAAGGTAACTATACGTATAAGGGTAATAGAGATACTATTCTAATGATTGCTATTGCAGTTTCTTTGGACGACGTGACATGGTGGTAGAGCGATAGAATGCTAACCCAAAAGTCTTAAGTTCGAATCCGGGTTCAAGTCAGTGGAACAACACTAAGTCCACCCAACTATGATGGATCTTTAACTCATGTTTAAAGTAAAAGCTACTGGGCATAGTGCTGACCACACTATCCATTCAAATGCCGAGGTCAAGAAACATGAAATGTACTGCAACTGCACAATGGATCGCTAGGTCTAACGAGTGCTCTTTCTTTGCTATTTCATTAAAGATCCACCAATCGAAAGTAAAATTGTTACTCCCAATTAGGATCCTGTAATATAAACGAATTTGCAATGTTGTTGACCCAGTGGCGTAGCGATTCTTCCCGGCGCCCGGGGACAAACTTTTCGATTTGCACGCCCCCCCCTCGAGATTTCGATTTGCACCCCCCCCTCAAACTTTCGATTTCCAACCCCCTCAAACTTTCAATTTCTTTTTCCAACCCATTTTGGCGCCCCCTAAGGTCGGCGCCCGGGGACATTTGTCCCCCCCCCCGCCCCCCCCCCCCCCTCGCTACGCTACTGTGTTGACCTACGATTAGATTTATTACATAAATACAGTATATGTGTTAGTAATATTTAATATATATATATATATATATATATATATATGTATATATATATATATATATATATATATGGATATTTTATGTATAGTAAATGTAAATTATACAACCTGTTCAAGAAGCAGAGAAAATGCTGCTTTCAACTGCTTGGCTAGACCAAGACCAACAGGAACAAGATGAACTGAGGCTACTAAAACTTAGAACTGAAGACCAAAAGCAACTGGAACTTGTAGATGTGAACACGCCTTTAACGATCTCCGATTTTTCAATGATGAACATACTAACTTTACGCTGGACTCTTTAATTAATAACCTTCTTCACTTGCTTGATAGTTGGACAAGTTTTTTGTATTCAACATAGGTACAATCACTAATTATTTTTTTAAAGTAATAAACTAATTAAACACTGAGTAAAAGTCTAGACAAATATTTCTAAGTAAACAAACTGTTCCGTTTTTCACTCTCAAAGCTCAAATGCAAATGAGGTCAATATTTCCCTTGTATTTATACTACTTCGGACGCACTTCAGGCTTTTTATAGACACCAGTAATGACATATATTTTGGGATTTTAAAACTTTTCGGAGTTTTCACGGAAAAAACAAAAGCGTTTTTTTGGCTAAAGATATTACAAGCTTACGGAAATGCCAATTTGTTTTCTATACAAAAGTAAGAATCAAGAATAGATAACCACTTAGTACAAAACCTACCCAACCAAGATATTTTTAAATATCGTCAGCGTGTATTTTTTTCACAAATGAACTCTCCAAAAATATAACTTTGTAATACATATTCCCAGAACATTGGTTACTTTATTATACGTTATGTTATACGTTTATCTACATATATCATTGTTTCTGTGTATATGTATTTGTAAGAATAAATTCGCATATGTATTTTACTAAAAAAAAATATTACACCTCATTTCTCAAGAAATTAAGGACTTACTACTAAAAAATGAATAAACAAACACCTTGTTATTTTGAAACAATAAATTGTTTTACATCAACACACTAGACAAATGAAACACAATGTCATTGAGAACTGATAACAGATTTGTAGAAGCCAGTAAACTACTGGCTTACGTAAAAAAAAACAATATCCTGGTATGCTTAAACCAGTGAGCTGGCACGGAATCTTTCAATAGCAATGTCGCTGCTGATACGAGCAATCTTTATAGAAAACGTCAACATACAAACACGAATATACTTTCAAAACATACACTAATTATTTTTTTTTATTATTGAATACTTAAACATTGCATGTGTTAATCCATCTCTCTTTGTCTTTATATATATAAATATATATATATATATATATATATATATATATATATATATATATATATATATATATATATATATATATATATATATGCGTGCGTGTTTGTATGTGTGTGTGTTTGAGCTACATACTAATATTTATTTATATTTTTTTGAGAACAACGATTAAGAAACACTAAACGTAAAGTGCGCATGTTTATTACGAACGATAACGTAACCGAATTCTTAGCCTTGGATGACTTCCCTTTCCTCGGAAACGCGAGTTCGTAGAATGCTGTTTCCTTCCGTAATAATCCTAGAATTAGGTTTCCCCGTTAAGAATTAGGGGAATTCCCGTTCAGCCGTCACTGATATTTAAATCAAACGAGCCGACCCGCCGCATATCATACGCCGCTATTTAGTTTTTTATTTTTCTACTTTTCAGTAATTCATAATTTGTGAATTCGACAGTACCAACGCTGCCACTGAAAATATTTCTTTAAAACACTATAAGTAGCTCTTTAAGGACGATAACCCCCCCCCTCCTTCCCCCCCCCCCCCCGTTACAGTAAACTCCACTTAGTTACCCCCCCCCCTACGTTTAAAATCGTTTCAAACTAAATTATCTGCCCCTAATAGTCGTCACTAAACCCGGCTCTGCTTGTAAACATTTATAGGGAACCACCCCCACCCCATGTAGGGGTGGGGGTGGTAGGGAGCGCGCTTACAGCTTGTTTTCTAGCGTCTCCCAGAAGAGAATTATATATATAGATGCTTACTCTACGTGTACACGCTTTTTATTCTTTAAAATGTTGTAATCCGATCGTTAATATAAATCGTGAACTTTGTTACAGCTAATTTATGTTTAAAGACGATTAATTAATTAATTAATTAGACACAATAGACGCAGAATAAATCTTCCAGCGCATGGCGTCATCCATTAATGACGTCACGCTTTTAAAATTATTTTTACCTCCCCCCCCCCCACTACTTCGTCACACATCTTTACAAAAAGCCAGACTGTGGTAATTATTATACACATAAGGCAATATGTAATTAAAAAAGTATTTGAATTCAATAATGTATAAGTTACGGCCCTTTATTTAGGTTACGGCCCTTTATTTTTTAATTCTTACACGAATAATACGTGTTGACAAGGGTAATCGTTTGAATTCAGATACTATGTTTTGTATCCAATCACTCAACCGTGTCCATTATATCAACACCCGAAATAATGTGTTATGCCAGGCGTTGTCTCTCCCCTCCCCTAGTGTGGATAAGAAGTGGGGGGGGGGGGTGGGGGGGAAGGGGGCTTACGCTATCGGTCAAGCCACGGATTACAGTCTGCCTTGAGGGTAACGACCTCATGACATATTTTACTTACAGTAAGTATTTACCTCGTATTTTATAATTGTTTTAGGTTTAAAAATAGATGCTTTGTTTTGGAGTGGTTGAAAACTATTTTTAATGCTTACGCAGATGAAAATTTAAACTCTAATGACAACGTAATTGTTTTTTAAAGGAAAAAAATATATATATTGCTTCCTGATATATACGGAAAAACCCAATGTATTTATTATCAAATCTAATTTACCATGCTTATTTTACTGTTGTAGGTGTTGTTTTTTTTGTAAACTCTTTATTTAGAAAAGTACTTTTATCATAACGTTATCTTTAAATCTGTAAACCTAAAGATATTTAGTTTTCCTTGAATAAAAAAAAATGCGTTCTATATGTTAGGTTTAACGACAGCAAAAAAAGTAATCCGTTTCATTCTGTTCTCATAGTTGTGATTATCTACTTTGGTCACATCGGCGGCATGTATAATGTAGTCAGTTCTATACGTTCCCTAACATGAGCAGGTTACCCATTAGATACCCTGTTTTTTGCTAAGTCAGTTGATGCGTACTCGAGATTTACGTTAATAAGAAAATGAAATATAAAAGCATCTTAAACGTATAATAGCTTTTTATCTATTTATGCCTTTTATAACATTTTAAATTCTAGTTTTAGGGTTACAATTTTATTAACAAAATTAGATTATATAGGCCTATGTATATATATATTATATATATATATATATATATATATATATATATATATATATATATATATATATATATATATATATATATATATATATATATATATATAGTGTGTGTGTATGTTTAAAATGTATAGGTGTATGTGTGTGTTTTTGTGCGCTCGTGTCTGTGTAAATGTTAATGTGTGTGCGCGCGCGCGCGTGTGTGTAGGTGTGTGTGTGTGTGCGCACGTGTATATGTGTGTGTTTGTGTATGTGTGTGTTCGTATGTGTGAAAGTGCGTATGGGTGTGTGTTTGTGTGTGCATGTGTGTGTATGTGTGTGTTTGTAAAAAGCAGGCCCAGACAAATCATTAGGGAATTCCCGTACATTTTTTATACACACAACCAAGCACATTGTGAGCCCTAAAAATAACCCTCAAATTTGCTTGAGAGCTGACTTGTTTTGGCATCTTTCCTAAACACTTGCACAAGCGTCAAATATATTTATAGCAGCTAGAATATGTTGTTGTTCTGTTATTACATCGGGAAGGGTTGAAGACGGAATGAAATTACTTCCTCGGAAAAATAATTTTAAAATGCAGGCTAAATCCGGAACTAAATAAGGAAAGAAATAATTTGAAAATCCATTTACTCGTGGACACCAGACTATTTTGGGCAATCTCTAGCATGTGTTGAACTAAATAGAAATGTTGTTCGATAAATCAAACAATAATCAGAAACTTGATTTATCGTACGCAATACTTACACAAACACATGCGCACACATGCGCACACAAACACACACAAATATATATATATATATATATATATATATATATATATATATATATATATATATATATATATATATATATGTGTGTGTGTGTGTGTGTATGTTTGTGTGTGTGTGTGTGTGTTCACAATTGTCTCACCAAAATAAAGCTGATATCTATTTATAGACAATGTTTTAGATTTCCCTGATGTGTTTTACAAAACTAGTACATTCAATGTCAAAAGCTAGTATGTGTGTATGTGTGTGTGTGCGTGTATGTCGGTCTCAATCCCTATGTATGCGTCATTACGTGTGTGTGGTTGTGCGTTATATTTTCTGCTTATGTGTATATGGGTTCAAATATAGGTATTGATATATGAGTACATAAAAATGTGTACATAAGTATGTGTTGTGCATATATGTGTTTACATGTATAAATGTTGTGTCTGTAGATATATGTTTATGTTTGTTTTCTTTCTATGTGTCTCTCTATATAAGTGTTTTCTTTTGTTTTTAGACCCCTGTGTCTGTGCGTGTGTTTCTTTTGTGTGTACGTGTGTGAGTATCCGCTTGCGATAATGATACTACACCATAATGCATACTTTGATTAACAATTGAACCTAATCCAAATATACGTTTAGCGCCACGTGCATCTCTGGCTGCTAAAAGTATCCGTTACTATTGCTTTATTTATACTCAGTACTTACATTGATTTTTTATAGAAGTAGCAATTCACGCTTTGTTATAGTCACCGTTTAGTGAAATAAAATTAAAAAAATCAATGTAGCGATTATTTACTTTAGCGAGCATTAACCTTGTTGAGGAGTGCGTAGTTAAACACTGAAACTGCCCTCGATATTGACGAATCAGTTAAACAAATTTAGGTAGTTGTCTCTGTTTGTTGCTGCACGTTTACCACTAAATGAATTTTAAACCGTAAGGCTTATATCTGGTATACATTAAAATATATTTTAGTAGCGCTTATTTTGTGTGGGAGTTGAGATATTGTATAGTATATATCACCACTATATATATATATATATATATATATATATATATATATATATATATATATATATATATATATATATATATATATATTGATTCCAGACAGAGTGTGAAATCAACACAAGTCAAATTTAATTATATTCAAGTTTAGTTATTATTTACTATGTACACATTCCGATATCCAACTTCTCACTCTACCGGAATCTACTTTCCTACATAATTCTGTTATCCAGCTGTCCGCTATATACATTGTATGATCTAACGATTTTCTCAACTGTAGCTGACCAAGTTCGCTAACTTTGACCAACTTCGCTAACTTTGACCAACTGCGCTAACTTTTACCAACTGCGCTAACTTTTACCAACTGCGCTAACTTTTACCAACTGCGCTAACTTTTACCAACTACGCTAACTTTGACCAACTGCGCTAACTTT